CAGTTATCCATGCTCTCTCTTCCTTCTACGGCTCATTATGTCAATGCACCAAATGATATTCACCTTGCTCTTCAAGCTCCCCTTAGAAATGCGCCCAATTATAACAATCAAGTTTCTTCTGCAACTGAAGCAAACTTTTCACAACAAATGCTAGCCCTTCTCACCAAGTGCAGTGACATTGTGACCGATCTGACGAATTTACTGGGCTACTTCCCTTATAATGGCCTTCAATAAAATTGGTTCTTCATTTTTGGAAGACTTTTGGGCTAAGCCACAAACTCATCGACACAATGCACAACATATAGAGTCCGAAGAAGAGCAAAATCTGCATATGCATGCTAAAGGAGCTGCCACCTGCTGGATAATGGAATTGCTGAAAATATGTATACTTTCAGATGACCTGTATCAGAAGAAGAATGATAGTGATTGTGCCATCTTCTTCTTTTTCTTTTTCTTTTCTTCAACTCTTCTACCCTCCGCCCCCTTCTTCCCCAATCAACGAAATCTCATCGTCTGGGATTCTCTGAATTGATATGTTATAATTTTAAAAACTGGAATTATATAGAACTGTTTAGAAGTTGTTTGCATGCAGGTTCTGAATCAAAGTGAAATCTTAAGAACCAAGATAGAATTCGCATCAAGTAAAAAACTTTTTTCTACACAAATGAACCGAAAAAAAAAATCTTTTTTCTAAACAAATGAGTCGGAAAAAAAATGTTATTAATGTGTTATCGGTTTAGCAGTTCAAATGGTGGTTTTGATCTTTATGGTTATTGGGTTATCATTTGATGGTTTTTATCTTTTTGGTTATTGGGTTATCGTTTCATTTCATAATTGTTTGAGGTTTGAGTTAGTAATTGATAATTTGATAGCAAATTAAACAATTATATTTATATCATTTTTTATTTAAGTCTTTGATTTAGAGCCTTAGTTTCTTAATTTATTTACGGCTATTTTGAAATCTCGGTTATTCTACTTTGTTGCTTTTGAGTAAATGAACTCATGTACATGATTCATTTGATTTGCCACCTTGTTTCAAAATGATTTTCATTGATTTATTGTTGTGTTAAATTTTAATGGTTAAATTGATAACAATCAATAATCAAAATCAATGATTGATAAGTCAATATATTTATGATCTATAAAGGTTTAAGATCTCTACTTTTCGAGTTATCAATAATTTAGAATTAATTAACATATTTTAAGTATTTATTTATTTATTTTTACTTGTTCATATTTTTTACTAAAAAATAATAAATTAAGTGCATGTTCTACCGTAATATCTATATTAATTGGTGTTTAGTTTTAATGAATTTGACAAATGATTTGAAATGATAGTTGCCGTTGTTAAGAGTAAATTATGAAAAAGATTATTTTTAAATATAAAAGTAAATGATCAAAAATGAACCTATATTTTTAGTATAGTAAATAAGTAAAAAGTAAAATGTTTTTGTAGTATACAGTAAATAAGTATAAGTGAAGGTGGGGAGCATTTGTTTGGAGTAAATCGGACAATTTAGTTGTTTCATTTTGTCATTTTGGTTGGACTAGGACTCTTAAATTAGCAGTCAGAAAGTCTCTCTACTTTTTTCTACTGGTAAAGAGCTTTAAATGTAATTAAGAAGGTAAATCAATACATAATTAAGGTTAGCTTTCGATGTAAGCTAATCTTCCAGTTTGTTTTGAGATCCTAATTGCATTAGCTTGACCAAAAAAAATATGGGTGTGAAATTGCTGTTTAGTGCAAGTGAAAGAATCCAATTCCATCATATTATTTATATATAATTTTTATATTTAAATTTTATAAAGTAAAGAGTAAATTACATCATAACTCTACTCTTTTTTAATATATAATAATTTCTTAATAATCGAAGAATGGTGTAAATTAATAATCAAAAACTTCTATAGTTTGAATACAATTTTATAATTAGCGGATTATTAGCTTTTAGTTTTTACCTGACTAAATTAGTATTCATGTTAAAAAATTTCATAGATAAAATACTTCCTGATAAAATAGTTAAATTCACATTTGATTTCGAATTAAAAAGAAATAGTCTCTACCTCAATCATTGTATTTTCTTTTATTTTAGTTGTATAACTAATTTTATGAGATAAAAACATTCATTATTGGAGCAATTTGTATTACTATAAAAACTGATATAATTTCTTGGAAATTTCATCACAAGTGCATAGATTATTCCATAAGGTGCGTTTGAACACGCAGTAGACACGACGTTTGTTCGGAAATTGGGCGCTTAATATTATAATATATTATATTATATCATACGAAAATCGATAAATTATATTCCGTTCGGATAACGCGTCTACTATTTTTATTGTTACAAAAACACTAGAGCGCTCTCGCTTTTTCTGGAAATTAAATCACATCGACAAAAAGTTAAATTTCCACCAAATATTTGTATCTATCCAAAGGAACGGTCATAAATAAAGGAGCATATTTATCTTTTTTTCCGTTTCCATTTATTTCATCAATTTAATTACATAAAGTTAAAATATATCATTCTTTTTAATATAAGCTTTAATTTGTAAAAATATTTATTTAATTAATTTTATTTTTTTCATTCAAAATTATTTGTCATGTTACGCTTACCGAAAATCAATTTGACTAATTTTCAAAGATAATTTAAACTATATTAATTTGATATTTTAAATAAAAAAACTAAATATTCTAAAACTATGTGAAAAGTATTATAAATTATAAATTTTTGCATATTAATATCATCAAAAAATATATCTTAAAATGTTAGTTAAATTTTTTATAATTTAGTTCTAAAAATAAAAATCATGACAAATAATATCGAACCGAGAAATTATAGTTATTAAATGTTACACTTCAATACTTCAAAACGTCAATGATGAAGCCTTGTCTTTCCATTGAGCCTCAAAGACAGCTGAAATCATAGTCAATGGCTATTACTCCTATTTGATTGAGCTAAGAGACAAAATGAAGCGTAACCATTAGTCAAAAATCAGTTTTTAAGTCAATTTGATCCGTTTTTAAGCGGAGTCAAACAGACTCACTACAATTAAACTTTTACTTTTGTTCATTATTTTAAATTTTATTTATCATTATAAAAATATTTTTTTCCAAGTTTTATTCTTAGAATACTTTAAATATCCATTAATAGAGAGATGGTGTGAAAAAGAATATATTATGTAGTTATTGCTTACTTAGAAATTAATACGAAATTTATTAATTAGGGGTGAGGAATCCTTATCGTTGTTGTAGTCGGTTTATTCGAACTTTCCTGTTTATTTCCTTTTTCTCTTTATTCTTCCACCTATAAATTCGTTCCCCCCATAAACAGAATTTATCGGAGTTAGTTTCAACAAACTATTTTTCATTTTAACAAATATTTTACCTGTTTTCTTCAACAATCCAATATCAACAATGGAGTTGCGTCCATTAGACATCAAAGTGATCTCTGCAGACGGCATAAAGTATGTCAATACTTTCTCTAAGATGGATGTTTATACAGAAGTTTACATTTCCAGTTACGCAAGCAAGGCTTCTAAGCAGAAAACTTTTGTTGATAAGAATAGCGGCTCGAATCCCAAGTGGAATCACTCCATGAAATTCACTCTCGATGAATCGTTTCTCACGAAATCAGGGACTTACCTCGTTTTTCGTCTCAAATCTGACCGTACTTTAGGTGATAAAGATATTGGTGAGGTATCTGTTCCTGTTCATGATTTGTTCAATTCTAATGGCACAGTGGAGAGGCTCGTTGAGTATCCGGTGATTACGGAGAGCGGAAAACCTAAAGGTACTCTGAAATTTTCCTATAAATTTGGGGAAAAATTTACAGCGCCTGAGCCGAAGAGAGATGTACATCATGAACCTGTTACAGCTTATCCTGCTCCAATGCATTCTGGTATGGCTTATAATCAGCAAAATTCTGGATACGGATATCCACCTCCGCCTCATCATCAACGTGGGTACGCATACCCACCCCAAGCTGGTGCACCGGGTTATGGATATCCGCCACCACAACCCGGGTATGGGTATCCGCCACCACAACCTGGGTACGGATATCCACCGGTGCAACCCCCACCGCCAAAGAGGAAGAACAAGATGGGAGGTGGATTAGGGTTAGGGTTGGGTGCAGGATTGCTTGGTGGTTTGTTGGTGGGAGATATGGTTTCTGACGTGGGAGAGATGTCTGCTTATGGTGATGGTTACGGAGATGCTATGGATGATATGGGTGGTGGTGACTTTGATTTTTAGTTTAATTTTTTTAAGTTTGTAAATTTTCTTCTTCTTTTGTTTTTTTTTTAATCTTTTGAGATGTAATAAACTTTGGTGCTAAGGTAGATTTTGAAGGATGCTTATTTTTTATTTAGTTATTCAGATCAACCTTACAGTACTATTTCCTTTTTTTCTTTAAAATAGTTTGTCATACTTTTAGGGCTACGAGTAATAAAAATAATACAAGATATTTTGATTTTTATATGCTCTAGTTAAAAGTGTTAAATCAATTCTACAATCACTCCATCATGTCTTATGATAATGGTATTGTGGAATGTCTTACATCATGGAATAACTTTTTGATTTCTTGTAATATATGTTTTATTCTTAACTGAGTATTTATCGAAATTAATCAGGATTAAATCATGCATTTATCGAAAGTTATCTTTCTATATGAAATAAGTTGTGTGTTCATAATTTATTGAGGCTTCTATTCGAAGCATATAACATTTTTCCAATACTTCTTATTTTGATCTTCCATCACCAGGCAAGTGTTAGGATTTTATCATATCCTAAATTTGACTTCTAGAATTATATTGACTATGATGTTGTATCGTGAAGTGTGATTGTACCTCGGATATTTGTTTAGCAGAATATGCTTTTAGTTCCTAAGGAACAATTTTTCATTTATGAGTTTCCATGTACCAACTATTTTGGTCTTTACTATTATTATATTTGGTGAAGTAGGAATAATTCTTTTGGGGGGGAATTGAACAGTTGTGTAACAGCATAGCAAACGGTGAACATTCATAGTATTATTTGCAGAGCATAATCATTCAACAGAGGCATTTGCAGCACACCTCATATTAACTATACAATATCAAATGATTTTCAATACAATCAACATGCCATTTAGAGCTTAAATTCAAGACCCAATTGCTGGTAGCAGCACAGCTTACACCACTTCATCACAACGTAAAACGCAACTCCTTCCCTCCTTGTCAAACTTGTGCTGTATTTGAGTGAACGCGAATGTGAAATAGCATGTTGGAGCACAAATACAGTGACGATGCTTACACATGTTTGCCTCAGCTTAATTTTTTACTGTACAAATAGGTTATTTTCACTCATGTTTAATAGCATACACCAGAGAATTCAGTACAGACTTGCTGCTATTATCTAATTTATTCTACTGATGTTGATTCATCATATAAATTCAACAAGAACTCAATGACCAACGACACAAAACCTTGAGATCAACACAAAATGGGCCTTCTTCCAGTCAAATACATACACACACTTGACATGTATACCCTGTATCATTCAGTAATACGGTTAAGCATCTAAAAATAGCTTAAGCAATCAAAACAAGGAACAAAATTATTCAGATCACTAACCTTCATCTTGTGCAAGATTTTCATTCTCTTGTCATGACTAATCTTTCACTTTAAATGAAAGATGGGTGCTAATGTAATTTTGAAAGATGACATATAAATCAAGATATGATAAAAATATGGGAACACTGAAGGGTTGGTGATGAGATAGGATAGTACTACACTAATTCAAGGCTTAATGCATATGCGACCCCTTAAAGTTGTTCGCATAATTCACTTAGACACCTCAACTAAGACTATTACCTATTAGACACTTTAATATTAAAGAATATGTGTCTATTGAACATAAAACGAAAACTTTTTTTAAAAATATTTTGTGTGTAGTTCACGCGCTTTGACTTAAAAAAATGACAAATAAAATTATGACACTTGGCACATGGACCCAATCTAGCAATAAAATATAATTTTTTAATTTAAAAAAATGAAAAATAGTTTCCCTTTATTTATTAATCACAAAAATATTAACAAAAGAAAATCCCCACCCCCACCTAACCTTTTAACCTTTCTTCTTCCTTTATCCATTCCTCTACCCAGTAACCCCGGCCACCATAACAAAAATAAAAACCTCCCTTTCAAATTTAATCTCCTATCATCTGTTATTCTCCATTTGTTTTGAGATTTTTGTGAAAATAAATAAACGTCAATAAATTGTTTTTAAGATTCATGACCAAGAAAAATTGAAAGTATGTTGAATTTTTTAATATCATCTTTAATAAATTAATGAATGGCGATGTTTGTTCAATCGGAGTGATCGAAATAGAGATAGACGAATATAGATCAATTTTTAACTCCAATGTTCGAATTTTTCTTCTTCACACATTAAATTAGCAGATTCTTTTTACAAAAAATGAAAAAAAAAAAAAGAATGAAGAATGAAACAAAATGCTAAGAATTTTGAAACCATTAGAATGGTGGGGGAAGAAGATAACCACTGATGCTAAGAATTTTGAAATCATTAGAATGGTGGGGAAGAAGATAACAATTGGAGCATGGGTATGGGGGTTGTGTTGGGTTGGGGTTGATAGAAATAGGGAAGAAGAAGAACAAATCTTCTTTTTTTGTTAATTATTTTTTTTAAAATTAACTTAGGGGTATAAATTTAAAAAAAATAAAATATTTTTAATAAATTAACGCGCTCAAGGAAAGTGAATTACACGTTTTTTGCCATGTCAGCATTTTGTGTCTAATAGGAATGACTTTTGAACAAATAAAGTGTTCAATTGACACAAGGATTAGTTGAGGTGTCTAAATAAATTATGCAGACAACTTTGAGTGGCTGGAGATGACTTAGGCCCTAATTCAAATTGAACTTGGATAAAACTATACACTGAATAGCACAGAAGATGTGCTGCAATTTGTTCTTGAAAATGATAATATAAGTTATGAGTTATGACTTTCTTCTCCACCCAAACTCACGGGATCAAACATGGTCACCTCATAAACCCCCCCTCCCCCGCGCCAAAAAAAAAAAAAAGAATTTTCGAATGGAACTTTGATGTACAATTCATACAGATGGTGCATTAAATGAGATAGCAGAGGAAAAAGATCAAAGCATTCCACGATGAAATTACAAGTAAATTGGACATCATTCACTGCACAAAGATAAACACAAAAAACAGTGATACTATATACCTGTATAGCCGAAGGAAATAAGTTGATAACTCCTAGAGATCTTCTTCTTCTGCATTCTTTGAGTGCCTTGAGGCATTCAACTAAATCTGCAGTTCCAGATTGTAAAGATGAAGCTATTATATGTAGTACTATCAATAAATTCCTGGTTTCTTAGAATAATCTATTGGTTTTTTGGTATATCCCAAATATCAGAATTGCCTGTAACTTTCCATTATTAACTTCAATAATGGAGTGCTAACTAAACTTAGTCTTAGAGTGAAAGGACCGCAGGCAACTTTTGAGTATAACTCTGGAGAAAAAACTATGATGAATATGCATGAGTACATATAATAGGATTACAGTACGTTTAATAAATCTATCTAAATGAAAGACATATCAAGAGATTCTTTTTAAATAGTCATAAGGACACAATTCTTCCTGTAGTCATCTGAATGTCAATTAAATTTGACAAGTGCTTCATTCATTTTTTCACTGTATTCTGAATACAAAGTTGATATTGTTGACAGAACTCGACATCATAGATGTGAACAACTATATTAAGAACAATTTGAAAATTATTACGCAGTAGTACTCATGAGTTTTATGACCATCAAGTGTATCTTATTTGTTTTTTGAGTCTATGATCAAAAAGATCAAATAAAGGGATGACACAGAGGTAATATGGTTGAGAGATAACCTTGAAATCACGCAGGCCACCATTTTCCTTTTTGCCAACATAAATACCTCGATATATAAGATCATCAACCATATTAGAGATTTTGCAAGTACAACATGGCAACGACTATCGAATAAACAACACAAGGAAACCAAATATCCAAAACGTAACATGGGATGACATGCCAAATCATCTAATCAATTAGCTACAATCGTAAAAGTTCAGGTAATATAAAGAAGAAGCAACTAAAGTACACTTATTTGAAAGTTGTAAATCATACATTGTGGAATTTAAGGCAGCGCGAATATTGTCCTGAATCAGACTTGCGTTTTATGCCCGAAACATGTCCAACCTTCTTATCACCAAGCATGCCCTTGTCAGCTGGTTGAATATGTCCGCTTAGAACAATTTTAAATTGAGCCTGAGACTTTGTCATCCTCTCCGCCACAGATAGTGATGGATTTTTCATCTTCAGTTCCTTCTGGTGTTGCCGTATACGTTTCTCTTGCTTCTTCTTTCCTGGCCCCTTCCCATGAAATTGATGTGAAAATAACCTAAAGGACTCCTTTGGAGTTAGATTTCGCCCAAATTCATCAGTCCTGATAATTTGTATCTCTTCTTCCCCTTTCACATCACCACCATGAATCCCAATGAGCTTGTTTTTCTTCTTATCTGTGTTTCGACCAGCCAATTCCATATCTCCCTCCTTCAGTGTACCTCTTTCTCTCAATAATCTGAGTGCCTCTGACAAACCCTTCCCTGTTGGAACTTCACGTATCGTCCTCTCTGGTTTAATTTCAAAATTCTCCTCTGGCAGCACATCAACAATAGGTTTTTGTTGTTGTTCTAATTTATCAAACTGAAGACCCCAAACAAAATCTCCTATCTCTGTAAAGACAACTTGTGATTCATCAGATACAGAAATTGGATTATCATTATCAAGGGTTGAATCACTAATTAGGGGAGCAATTACCTCTGGAAAAGTTTCGACAATGCCCTTTTGCTTTTCCGATGAAAGTTTTCTGACTCTTTCGTATGATTTTCTGAATCCTTCGTCGTCGTCGTCATCAAACGATACTGCATCAATTCGGTCCATCTTCTCTTTCCCCATCACAAAAACGTTGCGACTCTAGGTTTTGTTATTTGGAAGAAAAGATAGTATTTATATTTTGTTTTGAGAAAAAGTTCAAATATGTCCTGCAACATGAAAATTTTAATTTATTTATGTCATTATCTTTTAATAATAAAAAGAAAAGACTTATTTATGTTATTATTTGTAATAATAGTTTTACAAAATTATTTTTAAAACGTAATCAATTATAATTCAATCATGTCATTAAAGTTTTTAATATAGTAACAATAGAAAAAGATACTTTTGCTCCAAGAAAGACGTGTTTCCAATTGCAGTCGTCCTTTTTTTTTTCTTTCTAAAGGAGAATCTCATGTAACTTTATTATGCAGTCAAGAGGCATATATTTTGTCTTGCTGAAGAAAAATAGTTAACAAATTTCACATTCGAGCCTTAGGAAAAAATTGACAGGGAGTTAATTTTTTCCTTCAAAACTCAAATAATAAAATCATGTATGGTAAGACATTACATTTCCACAAACTTTATTTGCAAAATAATAGGAATATAGTCCTTGCTTTACCATATCAAATAATACAATAACAATAATGTATTTAATCAAATCCCAAAGACCAATTTCATATATATATATCTCCAATATAAGCAAAAGAATTACTCAAAATATATACAGAGACCTCATTTTAATAATCCATATCGTCCATGGCATCATCGTACCCTTGATCGTAAGAATCTGTATCATCAGAAATCATTTCACCAACCAACATACCACCAAGCAACCCTCCAGCCAAACCCAATCCCACTCCTGCTCCCATCCCTCCAAGATTGCTCTTTTTCTGTGGCTTTTGCACTTGTTGCATCGCGGGTGGATATCCTCCGTAAACTTGTTGTTGGTGCTGTTGCTGTTGTTGTTGAACGTATCCATAACCAGACGGTGGATATCCTGTTGGTGGATATCCCGATGTTGGATATCCAGCAGCTGGGGGAAATCCACCACCGTTATAACTAGCAGGAGGATATCCTCCTGCTGGTTGTTGATACGCCATCCCATGATTGGGATTCGGCGTTCCGTACCCCATGCCAGGTGTTGGCATATTATTAGCTCCGGTCTGGGCATATGGATAAGCCGTCACAGGCATATTTTGATGGTAGTTGCTATTAAGTTGATTTACATTTTTGTACATTAGTTCAGAAGTTTGTTCATATTTCTTCCCAAATTTATAAGAAAACTTGAGAGTACCTTTAGGTTTACCATTAACAGGGGTAAAAACTTGATACTCCACAATTTTCTCAGCGCTGCCATCAGGGCCGGCATTAGATTGACCGAAGATATCATTTATAGGGATTGAGACAATTCCGATATCCTTATCACCGGAAAAGCGAGAAGATCTGATACGGAAACAGAGGAAAAGGCCAGACTTTGTGAGGGAAGGTTCATCTAATGTGAATTTCATTGTGTAATTCCATGTAGGACTTGTTCCACCTTTTTTATCAATGAAGGTTCTCTTTGTATTTTTTGCATAACCTAATATTGAAATTTCGACATAAACATCCATGGTAGAGAAGTAATTGACATTCTTTATGCCTGTGGCGGAGATCACCGTGACATCAAAGGGACGCCAATCCATTATATGGTTGAATTCAACAGATTTAGAAAAGAAAAAAGGGAATTGATTAAAGAATTTCTTCTTTTTTTTTCTTCCCCTCTTTTTTTCTTGTGCTGTTGGAAGAATTTAATGGTGAAAATGTGATAAGTAGGTTAACGAAGAGAGACAAAGGTACTCGCTTAATGTTGAGTCAAATGTATGAACTAGATTAATGGTTTCTATCTTCTCTTCCCTTCTTTTTCGCTAATGAGAATTTCAGCTGCTGTCACACAATTTCTCCTTCATCCTATTATCGTGGAAAATATTTTTTTCATAAACACAAAATCTTTTTGAATCTCACTCCAAAAATATGTGACCAGCAAATAACAAATCATAAGTAATATATATTATTTCAACATATCATACTAAATTAATTCGGTATAGTTTCTGATTTTAAAGATAGGTTTTAATATTAGAAAAATGCCCAAGTAACTTCAACATATTTCAAAATTTCAGAGATAAATTTATATTATACTCTGAACTTATTTTATAAGTAATTTTCTACTATTTTCGGTCTATGTGACACAAGATAGTATCATGTATAATAGGACTTAGTATAATATAAATGTGTCTCTAAAATTTACTTCTGCTCAGGATAACCAACTGAGTTAATCCACAAGCCTGCGAAAATTGGAGTTGCTTAGAAGCTCAGTCTTCGTTGATTCTAATTTTCATGAGAGAGATCATACACATACAGTTTAATAACTAAAAATAATATACCTTATGTGATAATGTAAAATAAATAAATTATGTTGCTGATGATTAGCTTGTCTCCGGTGCAAATGAAGCCAATAACATAATCTAAACGTTATTTTGTTCAAACATGCGAGTAAATTTCGGAGGATGATTATTTGAATTTCCAAATGTAAAGTTTATTTATCACAACATCACATAAAAAATATTGAACCTAAACTTTAAGATACCTTAAAATGTTAAAGAGTAAATAAACTAAGGAAAAGTTTTGTTGAGTGTTTGTAACAAATTTTAAATTGACAGATAATAAATTAAAATTATAAATAAAATATTGTAAAAAGAGTATTTTACTCATAGATATTACCGGTACAATTTTGTTCTATCACTTATTCTTCTGACATAAAATTTATCTTATAAGAGGGACGTTGGTGGCGTATTTCTCTTTATGAAATTCCATGAATTTGTGAAGTATTTAAAATGCATATTTAAGAAAATAGGCATAAGATAGGGTCTAGAATTAGAGTAGTCTCCAAGAAATCAACTAGAATCGAATACTTCTTATAAAATCCCGACTAGAATTGAATACGTGCAGAATGAAATGGATACTTCTTAGGGCATGTTTGGTCATGCGATATGATATCATAATATGGAATCATGAGATGAAATTGAAGTTTTATTTGGATATGCGATATGAAATTTTGGTGTTGTATATTTTCTCATAAACATAAAAATCTTATAGGTTCTAAAACTATTAAATAGCTATGATTGTTTATTCAATCTCATCAAATAAACACAAAATAATAAAATTATATGATAAATTATTACAAAGCTATTTGTTCTCCACTTAAGTAATTGTTTCAATCTAACTTTCACTTCTCCTCGATATATTTGAGTAAAAATGGAACACCTTTCACGAGCTCTTCAAGATCTTATTACTCAACAATCGTGAAGTGTGAATTAAAGTGATTATATGTTAAGGTATCTTAAAGTTTAGGTTCAATATTTTTTATGTCTACCCACCATTTTAACATAATCGAATAATGTTAAATATTATGTGACATAATGGGATAATGTTAAATGTTAATGTGAATATGATTGATACATTTCAGCCAACTTGATAATCACTTTTTATGAGTAATTAAGCATTATTGTGATTTATAATTTCAATCATGCAAACAAGCATATCATATAAATTGACATTATTAAAAAGTAAATAAAAATATGAAATATCATTCAAATTAGAGAAAATCTTCTAAACTAACGAAAATATAGCAGAAGTGGGGCCCTTTAAAGTTTAATCTAGAACAAGTGAAAGAAAACAAAAAAGCAGCAGTAGAATGTCTACAAGTAAAGCTAAACGGAACCTTCTGCCTGTAAAATTTCTTCTACCTTACACTTGCACCCCCTATCTTTCTTCAATTATTTCATTCTCATCCTCTTCAATTCTCTTCTCTCATCGCCTCTCTTTCTCTCTCTACGCTGCTACACGCAATTCGTCCGCCATCTGCCGCCGTTCTCCGCCCTACCTCATGACCTCTACCATCTCTGCCTCCTCCCCTTGGCCCGAAGGCCCTTTCGTTTCCCCTCCTATGTCGGAAAATTCTCCTGATTCCGGTGATCGTTCCTCTCTCTCTGACCTCTCCGATATCTCAGCTGCCGTAACTGACGTCGTTGATGATGAACGCGGTTCTCAAACCTCGTTTACCTCTCCCATTAATGCACCCGCCACTAGCGTACAGAACGTGAACCCTAGCCCTAATTCTATTTCTCTTCCCGTTGATTCATCTACTCCCAATGTCCTTTACCTATCCTTCAACCAGGATTACGGATGCTTCGCGGCAGGCACCGATCGAGGGTTCCGGATCTACAACTGTGATCCGCTCCGTGAGATTTTCCGCCGCGATTTTACCGGCAATTCTAATGGTGGAGGTGGAATTGGCGTTGTTCAGATGCTTTTTCGGTGCAATATTTTGGCGTTGGTTGGTGGAGGTCCGGAGCCTCAATATCCCTTAAATAAGGTGATGATATGGGATGATCATCAATCTAGGTGCATCGGCGAGCTATCGTTTCGATCTGAGGTGAAATCTGTGAGGCTGAGAAGGGATAGAATTGTGGTTGTTTTGGCCCAGAAGATATTTGTTTACAACTTCTCGGATTTGAAACTGTTACATCAGATTGAGACAGTGGCGAACCCCAAGGGTTTGTGTGAGGTGTCACAGGTATCGGGATCAATGGTTCTGGTTTGTCCGGGTCTTCAGAAGGGTCAGGTGAGAGTGGAACATTATGCTTCTAAGAGGACCAAGTTTATAATGGCACATGACTCAAGGATTGTGTGCTTTGCGCTTACAAATGATGGGAGGTTGTTGGCTACTTCTAGCAGTAAAGGGACTCTTGTCAGAATATATAATACTTTAGATGGATCTTTGGTCCAAGAGGTATACACTTACTCTGAATTAATTGTCATACTCTTTTGAATTGTTTTTTTTACATGGTTAATATGGCCATTTTTTTTTATTTTAAATGGTTAATATGGTGGTGTCAATTTCCGATAGAGAAAGTAATCCAATGTGTGTTGGGAATAGAGAAGTGTTGTTCATGGAAAATGTGTTCTTTAGGAGATAGTTGTCCATGTTTGGTTGGGTAATAAAGTATGTGACAAATGATACTTGAACCAGTAAGAGCATGCGGTGTAAGGATAGTGTTTTGTTACTACTTTTAGATATTAAAGGTTGACAATAATGTCTTTAGTATTATTGAAGCAACTGATGTAAAGTAGGAACTATGATAT